GCAACATTTTTAAATCTTTTTTTTTCTTTTGCAGGCTTTGGAGGAGCAGATATCTCAGGAAGAAAGCAGCTCTCAGGCTCTCAGAGAGGAGGTGCTGGCCAAAGAGCAGAACGTGTTAGAGCTCCACACAGCCATGAAGGAGGTGAGCTATATTAACCACCATCTCCAAAAAAAGCACCAACTTTCTCAGTTTCTGTTTAATTTAGAAATCAGACCTCTGAGTCCTCAATAAAGCTCGACAGCTCCTAACACCGATGCCGATCATTGTGTTGTAGCTGTCGACCCAGAACCAGGAACTAATGGAGCAGAATTTGACGCTGCAGGAGCAGATGAGCGATCCAGAGCAAAAGTGCACTAACCAGGCTTCCTCTGTCCTGCAGCCAGCTGGGGCTAATCTCACAAAGAGACTGCATGCTGAGATTGCTTCCTGCCTCAGTGACCTGCGCTCACTGTGCAGCATCCTAACCCAGCGAGCCCAGGGACAGGACCCCAACCTGTCCCTGCTCCTTGGCCTCACTTGTAAGCACTACTCGAGTTTTTATTTCTGACCTTCATCTTTTTCACTGTAGTGTTGGATTTGATGTTTAAATTAAATGTAATGGAATGAGATGAACCAATTATTCATTGTTTTTCCAGCACCCCCATCTGTGGCGGAGCACGGCGAGGACTGGATGAATCCTGAGGTGCTGCAGAAAAAGCTGGTTGAAGTCCAGCAGCTCCGGCGCGATGTCGAGGAGCTGCGTAACGTAATACTGGACCGTTACGCTCAGGACATGGGAGAAAACTGCATAACTCAGTAACCTCGACAACCAGCCACGATGGAGGAAACTTGCAGGAACCTCTTCATCTCGGAGGACTCTTAACAGGCTTTTCTTCCACGCTTTGTTCCTGAATGTCAGAGGACTGGACTATAATTTCCTTGAAACGAGGACAAAGGAAAGCCCATATGGTTTAGCTTCTACTTCTCGACTGACAGCATGTCGAGTCTCAAGCCTGCCTGTAGCTCAGAGCCCCCACCTCCCCGCCCCCATCCCAGTGAGTTCATCTATTTCAGTCCAAGGGCTAACAGAAAATAACTTACCTCTAATACTTGATCCTTAAGCATTGTGTGTCTGTGTGTCTGTGTGTTTGCGTGCGCACGTGTGGGTTTTTTTTTGTTTTTATAATAATGACGACAAGATGCTGTCAGTTACCAAAACAGTCTTATACTTTTTATTCCACTTTGGTGGAAAACTCTTTGTGTAGAGGTCCTGCAAATATTAACTTATTTAAAATTGAATTTCCCTCCAAAGGGGAATTATCTGAGAAGTAGTTGACAATCAACTGAAAATATTTAACCTTTGCTTTTTTATTTTTGCTTTTTTTTCCCTTCCTTTTTTTAATGACTTTGCAAGGAAATGTTACTAATGCGCCATTTGAAATGGTGAACACTGTAATACTGGACTCTGCTGTGAGGTATGAGGCATAATAACTAAAAGAGGTTTAATACCAAATCAGCTTCTGACACCAACAGGCCTACCGTATACCAAAGAAACACCGGTCGAAGCAGTCGTGCAGGTGTGCGAGCACTCCTCGCTGCTGCAGGCTTCCTTCTGAATGAATTACCAACATGTGCCTTTCTGTCGCGTTTGCAACTGCAATGCTAATTTCATCCCAGACCAACCACAAAGGGCTGATTGCAGATGACTCTTCCAGTATAACCGTTCACTCAGTGTGTCAACCAGTAGGACAGTCAATACATTCCCTCTGACACTGAATGTAGTAGGAAAAAAAAAAATGTGTTGCAAAGCTCGAGTTGGCCCTGGTAGATGATTAAAACACGGTGAAAGTCCGAGTAGGATTTAGCGTAGATTTCATGTCGATGACAGCAGACTCGCATTCAAGCAGAGCGGTGAACTGTTTGAGTAAATGTATGAATGAGAAACAGTATTAATCTTCAGTATTATTTATTGTTATTTTAGGTTTTTTTTGTTTGCGTTGAAAACTCGGTGTGAAAGTTTTCTGGGTCTTCCTAACGTGTTGTTGCTGTAATAATGTGCTAACGTGTCTCAGCAAGCATCCACAGTGTGCAAAGGTCCCATGAAGTGTCTGTTCGATTGTATTATTTCTTTGTGGTTTGAGGTGTGATGAGATGGGATGTTCCTTCATGCGTTTTGACTGTGGAGGTGACTGTGGAGGGGTTGGCTGGATCACCCCATAATCACGGGTCACATCGAAGTGAATGGAGTTTTTGTATTTGTCCTGACGGTGAGATAAGCCATTTGAAAGGGGAAAACAAAACAAAAAAAACATGACACTTTATGGGAAGAGAAAGGGATTTTAACATAAAAATATGCAACAATGACTTTTATTATTCTGAACACCACCCAGGGACACACAAGCCATTTTTCATTTCATGGGACCTTTAAACTTGAGTAGCACAAGATTTCTCTTTGAAAAGTCGGGCTCCGCATGCCTTAACATCTCAAATGTTTTGCAAAAGGGAAAAAATATGTTTATATTTTCATACTTTTGTCCTTGTTTGTATTTGCATATTTTAGAAATAAAGATTTTCGACACTTGGTTTTGTTTTAATTGGTCTCAGATTGCTTTTATTTGTTTAACTTTGCGGAGAAAGGATGAAAAGACCAGACTGTTCCTGCAGATGTGTCAGCTGCACATTCATAATGAGTCCAGTGAAGCCATCATGTCATTTAAAAGACACAAATTAGGAGATTATGTCCTACCGCCAGCAGCCTGAACCTTACTTTTTATGTTTACTCAACACTTTTCTGACCGTATCATCAAAGTGTTGCAGCAGAAACTGAGACTCATCAGACCATGCAACATTTTTCCAGTCTTGATCGTAACTTCAGCGTCCTGGTCTCAGCTGACAGCAGCCGGTGTGGTCCTCACCTGCTGTAGCCCACCTGCTTAAAGGTTCTGTGTGTTGTGTGTTAAGAGATGCTCTTCTGCATATTGTGGTTGTAACAAGTTACTGCTCCATTCCCATAAGGTCTAAGCAGTCATTCTGTTTCTCCTATTTCACCCAGAGAACTGCTGCTCACTAAACGTTGTCTCTGAACTTTAGAGATGGTTGTGTGGAAAATCCCAGCAGACCAGCCCATCTGGCACTAACCGTTCTGATGATCTGTTTGAACTTTAGCAGGTCAGCTTGACCTGAATTGCTGCCATGTGATGATCTGATTAGATATTGGTGTTAATGAGCTGTGTCCCTGTTAAGATAAGAGCAAAGGTATAAGAAACAAAAGGAATAATGGCTCATTGGGATTTTATTTCAGTGTCATGGGTTTGTGAATGCTTTTGGCCTCACCGTCACAGAACACAGTCGTCATTAATAACATTAGTAACACCTTTACTTCTGCTCACGCTCCGCTCTGCTGTGAACAGCACTGATGTAACAAGATAAAAGTAATTCTTTAATCTTTAACATCTTTGTTGACGTCGGCCAGTGAAGGATCGGGCTTCCTCTGTCGCAGCAGTAGAGTGGCGTTTGTCACGATTCCACGCGACTGGAGCGTCTGACCGTCATCATCATAGTTGCAGTGTGGGTGTGTGCTGATGATGTCATAACTGGGTACGCCGCCCCTTCTGTAGTGCAGCGACAAACAAACAGCAGGCTGGGTCACGTGATTGTAAAAGCAGCGGCGCGGTCAGTGCATTGAGATGTGTCCTCACCTGTGTTCGTCCAGGTACCTCCGCAGGTCACCGACTGTTTCCGACGGGGACATTTTCACCATGTAAGTGTGACTCCCGTCTTCTGACTTCACCTTGAGAGTGATGACGTTACAGGCAGGCTGGTAGGCGCTGAAAGCCTGCAGTCTGGTGGCAGCCGTGACGCATTATGGTTGTTAGAAAAATGTGGGTGAAAACCGGAGCGTTGCATCACAAACACGGTCACCAGCTGATGGCTGCCCTCATTTTCAGATCAGCACATACAGTAATCTCTACAATCTGGACGATCAGTGGCCAAATCGGGATTTAAGCAGGTCTTACATCAACTGTGGTGTTCTTAAATTCCTTTAACCCACTTTGTACTTGTCATTTTTTTCCATGTGGTATTCAGTTGGTATGACAAATGTTTTTAAGCCATGCTTATTTGCACAGCATGAGTTTGTGATGACTGACACCCTCTGGTAAGTCTGTTAACGGGCAGATTAGACAAATATTTATGCTATACACATAAAAAATAAAAGAGAACATTTGGTTTACCTCTCAGTACTCGCTTGCAGTGACGGTGTATCTATCAGTGTCACCGAACTGCTGCTGTCCACATCAGATGTACCCTGGTAGAAGCACACTGATTATCAGTGCTGTCTTATATATACATGAGGACTTAACCATTAGGCCCTCTATAAAGAGTTTCCCAAGTGTTGCTAAACAGAGAAACAGTGGAACTGAAATCAGAGATTTGTGCAGGCCTTTAATGACATTATTGACAATTAATGTTGATTTTGGCCTTCTGGAGCCTGGTCTTCACCAGGGGTGACTATGTTTTGGGGTACTGTCATGCTTAAAGACAAAGCAACAACCCAGACACAGGTTTACTGGTGACTGCTTGAGATTTTGTTCCCAAATCTTCACATATCCTTTTATCTTGATTCCTTCCACCTTGAAGAGATTCCCAGTTCCAGACACAACATAATACTGCCACCACTGTGTTTCATTGTGGGGATGTTGTTCTTTACTTTATGTCTCTCACTTCTTTCTCCAAACATAAAAAGCTTCTCTTTGGCCAAAGAGCTCTAGTTTTGTCTCATCTGATCAAAGCATGCGCTACTAGTATTTAAAATCTTTCTCCAGGTTGTCCTTCAGTGAAGTTTGGCGTGAAGTTATCTGTTCTGCAGAAGTGGAGTTTTTCTTGTTCTGCAGCTTTGCAGTCCATTCCTGTGCAGGATTCTAGTGATTATCTTCTTTGAGACTATAATTCACGACTCGAGTAAGTCTGAACGGATTTCTTTTGTTTTTGGTAGCATGCTTTCTCAGGTGACAGCTTGAAGTTTTTATAATGTGAGAAAATTGGAAGCTAACTCTCAGTTTCAACTTCTTAGCTTCGAGCATTACAACGTTAAAGCTCATCATTGCACAGCAGTAGCGCCTGCTATGGTTTTTCAGGGAACTAATAATACTGATCCTGGTAATTTTTGCTTTTTTCTGAAATAGTAATAATAGTTGATGCTTTATAAAGAAAACTACAATGTTTACAAATGTTATGTTAAAAATTCCTTGGTCTGTTTAAAAAAATTACTCAGAAAAATGTTGACGAAGCTTTTAAACTTTGTAGGGTGGCTGGTAATTTTGTCCTCATCTGTATATTTGTACAAACAGATAATTGCTGACTCACCTGCAGCTTTGCCCTCAGCGAGTTCCTGATATCAATCACTCGGCCGGCCTTCACCACCGACTTCGGCAACTTGTTCAGGAACTGATCTGTGGTCAGCTTCTTGCCTTTGAATCAGAAGAAAACATGAGAAGGACAGCAAAGTCTCTGAGGATCTGCACCGTGGCTTTGATCAGGGTGACGTTTGCAGAACAGACCGGGTAAGTGAGAACTCAGCGAGCTTGCTGATTCATCTTTGTCCCCACAAACAGCCTGTCCTTCACCAGGAAACGTTTCCCACGGGAGCCTAGAGTTGAATTCCTCGTATCGCCTGTCATGAAGCTGCGAAGAGAATTTTTGTGAAGTCACTCGATTGTTCCCAAAAACAAAATAAGAAGAAGAAACTGAGACTCACCTCAAAAGGTACACCATCCGGAAATCTTTCTTGAAGCTCAGATGGAAAATAGCCATCCATTAGATCTTGCATGCACTGCTGCAGGGACCAAGAGTTGATTACTTTTAACCAAGGAAAGATTCCAGTTTGATATAGATTTTGATTTTCCTTTTTTAGTGTAGCTAACCTGGGTGCTGTGCTCCTGATATGAGCGGAAAGGACCATCAAACATTACGATGCCATTCCTGTAGAGCCTCAGTGGAATGGGATCCTTTTTTGCCAGCTGTGCTCCTGTCGCTGTCATTTGCACAAAAGACTCTCCTTCCCCTAGGAGGACGTTCAGTTCTCTGATCCTCTGCAGCACGAGATCAAAGTTTATGTGGAAGCCTCTGCCACCAGAAGTCTCTGCAGAAGACAACAAAACAAAAACAGCACAGCTTTAACATACAAAAGACACGGCGGGATTGCAGGTCTGCAGGACTGGTGGATCTACCTCGCTCTGCAGGATCACCAGAGTCTGTATCTCCCACCCAGATCAAACCATAATCGTTCAGAAAGTCCTGCAACAGCGACAGCAGCTTAGTGAAACCTCCACACTGATCAAATCACGATCTCATACTTTATGAACACACCTTACTCACCTCCATCTCATGCACTTGATTTTGCAGTTGTTGGCACCGGCTTTCGAGATCATCTCTGCTCCTCGGGTCATGCGTGCTTCCTAAATCCACACAATCATGAAAACGCTTTGATCGACTTAGCATAAGTCGAACTCAAGTCTGTGCCTGCTGTAGGTAATTACCTGACTTCTCCTGAACCCTCAGCTTCTCCTCTAAATCTGAAATCTGTTTATCCTTGGGAGGAATGACGAAACCATAAAGTGAGGTTTAAATATGTTTAAAGGATGGCTGGCAGTTTTGGTATTCGTTGAAGGGGTTGCATGCTCACTTTGCGCTCTATCTCCTTTGCCTGGCTCCTCACTGTTTTCTCCAGGAGGGTCACTCGCTGCATCATGGCAGACATGAGGTCAAAGTTGGTCGGAGGACACCCTGAAAACCAGCAGTTAAGTATTAGAAAAATAAAACGTATAATTATTTTGTGTGTGATAAATAAAAGAAGATATATTGACACTGGAATATGAAGCATTGTGTTAATGCCTACCTTTCTTTAATGGGGCTCCCGTATTTGAGGTGGAGGCTTCGTTGGTTGGAGTGTGAGAGTAATCAGAAGACTGATCGGCCAATTCAGCCTCAAATTCTAAAAACAAAAAGTATCATGGTTATAAAAGATGTTTTGTTATTTTTTCCACTGAAAAAGTTACCTGATAAACTTATGATCAGTTCCTCCAGTAAGATATAATTGTTATTATTCGTCAAATGTGAGGATTTGCTGCATTTTGCTCATCACAGTTTAAGTTATTTATGTTGTGGACACATGAATACTGTTAGATCTCCACACACTTTAAATCAAACAATCACAGTGTGACTAAAGTGCAGACTTTCAGCTTTATTTTGAAGGGTTTAAAAGGAAAGTAGTTCTAGTTCTAGCTGGGATGTGTTTATTTATTCTGTACTTGTACTTGACTGAATTTGCAGCGCTGCTGGTGATCTGTGAGTGCATCGTTACCTTTCAGCAGATTCCTCCTGAAAGGAACTTTTGATTTGCTCCTGCAGGTCGAAGAAAATTAAGTGTGGCGACATGATTGATACGTTTATTCTGCACAATAAAACTACAGTCCAGTTTCTACCTGTGTGGAGTTAATCACCTACCCTTGCTCTTTGTGAGCGCCCTGCAGAGGAGTGCGTTTGGTTTTCTTTAGCATCGACAAAGGAGAGCTCATTTTAAACCCAAAGTATCCCACACTTATTTCTTCTTTGGACTTCTTTCTGTTTAGAGCATGAACTATAACAGAGGTTCAGAGGGATTTCCGGTGTTTTCTCAGTTTGTGTGGAGTCCGTTTCCAATAGCAACAATGTAACGTACTAAGTGAAGTCTGCAGAAGTGCCTGTTTCATCCAGAGGAGGTCGCTCTTTCTGTCCTCACTTAACAATTCTACTACCTCTGTTTCATAGGAAAAAATTTATAAAATGTAGACGTTTACATTATAAACGTTCTGAAAACGAAATACAAATAAAGAAATTATTAATTCATTTCCAAACTAAGTGATTGTAGTTTTTTTTAATGTAAGAAGTCATAAATATTTAATGTTTTATTCATCATAATAAGATGTATTATGAAATGTATACATTTCATAATACATGAGACAGAAAAACAAAATAAAAAAGCCTTTTTTTCATGAAAGATAAACAAACATTGATGAGTGGTGTTTCCTAAATTTGCCTTTACTATTTAGATGCTGTTAACCATGGATACTCAGAAATTATGACAGCAATTATGACATAACATTTTTTCTTCCCAACTTTGTCATACAGACAAACCGCTCAGGTGGTAGAGCAGGTCATCTACTGATCGGAAGGTTGGTGGTTCGATTCCTGGCTTCCCCTAGTCTGCATGCCAAATATCCTTGGGCAAGATATTAACCCCAAATTGGCATCCATCGGAGTATGAATGTGTGTGAATGTTACTTAGAAAGCACTTAGAACAATGTGCTTGTGCGAATGGGTGTGAATGGGTGAATGCACAAGTTGTGTAAAGTGCTTTGAGTGCTCAGAAGAGTAGAAAAGCGCTATATAAGAACCAGTCCATTTACCATTTACGGTAGAGGTGGGCAGATTGATCAAAATATCGATACCAAAGCTTGTATTGGTATCAGATCGACACTAGCGCATTAGATTGATACTTTTTTGCCCTATCCTCCAAGTTCAGTATGGAGCCCACTGAATTGTATTCAATTTTTGGGGGAGAAATAAAAAATCAAAACACCTTTTCTGTTGACTGCCACATTTATTTTATTTATAACCTATAGTACAGAAGTTGGTCCAAAGCCCTTTAGAGACAGGCACATTTACGTCACAGATCTCCAAAAATAAAAGGTTTTGTTGTGCAAACAAATTACTGTGGAAAGTAATTAGTGGTTTAGTGATCATCTGTGCGTTTAATGCACATTATTAGTCATATTTAAAGCACATATTCAACTGGATACACAATAAAATAGTACCTTCAGAAGCAATCTAATTACTTGTATAACCTAAGAATAATTCAGAATTAATAACCACAGTTTTCAGTTTAATACACCAGTTTACACTAATTATGAAACCTGAGACAAAGGCTTAATCATGTTGACCAGAATCCTCCAAAGTTAGTTTGTTTCAGTATTGTTTACACCATTGTTTCAGTCTCATAACTACATAAATGCTGTCCATGTTATATTAAGCAATTAAAAACGTCACACTGGCTCTCCATACATCTGGATTAAATACAAACTCGTAATAGAGTTGCTTTTATATGACAGTTTTTTAATTCATAGTCCTTCTGTTATTGTGTTATTGTGCAGAATCAACAGATATCAACTGAATAAGACCCAACTTACTTAGAACAAATACAATTTTTTATGATGTAATGTGGACCAAGGCAATGTTCCCTCTAATTTTTCACGTGTCTGAGCAAACACACGAACTCCCTGAGCAGTCCGTGGACCACTGTGAGCAACAGCAGACGTGTGCACTGTGGTCACACCAGCATCAAATCCATCCAAGTTACATGGTTTATTAAAATAATCACATTACATCATTTACATTTATGTTACACTACTTTTAATAAACTGCTCCTAAAACTTCCCCCCTTCCTAAACAACTAAATGCCATGTTGCCATATCATTTTTTGATTGGTTGACATGGTACATTTTTCCACCAATAGGAAAGGGTGGAGTTTTTTGGTTTTGTTTTTGCTCACAGGCGGAGAGTGCTTTTGAGGCTTTCCTTATAAAAGGCAGTTTTTACCGTTTCTTCCCACAGTAAATTTAAACAACAATAGTATTCAGCAAAAAAGAACAAACATTGCATATAATTTTTTTTATCATAACTCTGGTTTTACGTGGCCTATCAACACAATTTAAAAACGTATAAAGTCCACACTGTTTCCGTCAATTGTTCCGTCTGTCCTGCTCACATCTCCAATGGTTGTACATGTTGTCATTAACGTGGCTTCACGACACATCAGCTACGCTGCTTTGCTAGCTAAAATACCGGTGTTGGCACATATGAACGCTGTCATAGCCTGTCAACAACGTTGATTAGCTGCGTATATACAAATGTGAATCGCAGTATTGGCTGGACTATGTGATAAGGTGGCATTGTTCTAATCCCATACTGGAGCAGCCAGTCACTTACTGACTAACACTGCAAAACAGAATTGTTAATGTACTTATTTTAATTTCAATTCAGGTTAGATTTTCTTTTGTGCGCAACGCAGATTTTCTGTGCAGCTTAGAGGGAACATTGGACCAAGTTGTGTATGGTGTACTAAAATTCTGAAAAAAGATTCATCTTTTATTTCTCATTATGTATGGCATACAAATGACTGGTTCTGGCTATACTATAACCGTTTATTCTGTTTGTAATAAATAATAATATGCCAAGTATAAAATGGATCAATAAATGTATACTGTATATATACACATCTTTTTCTCATTTCTTAAAAAAATTTAATGTTTTACTAACAAAACACATTTTAACACATCTTTGTGTCAAAATAACACATCTCTGTGTTGACTTACTTTAACAGAAGATGTGTTAAAGAAGCAGACACATTATTTTGTGTTCAAATTGACACATCATGTGTTGTCCCTGAGCAGATACAGCACGTGTTAAAATCTAACACGATGTGTGAATTTTAACACACCCCCAAAAGGGTATAAACTCGCCATTGTATCGGGTCAGTAGTGATAAATGATCATGATGCGTTTTATTGCTTATAACAATCACGTTGTTGTTCAGACCCCACGTCACCGTGGCCTGTTTATATTCCGCGTCTCGCCGCTAGGCGGCCCGGCGCAGGCTCGCTGTGGGCAGAGAGCGGGCAGACAGGGAGGATGCGGAGGCCTGCCAGTCCCACAACAACAACACATCTATCATCCACCCGGGGCGACTAGGCCGGTCCGGGCTATGGCTGCACCTATAGCACATTTCGACGACGACTGGCCGAACCTGGGTGATCCGAGCATGGTGTCACAGGAAGGGCTGCTGCCGCAGAAAGGCCGTGTCGCCGCCGCCGCCGTGAGCGAAGCGGCGCCCGAATCGCTCCTGTTTGGCGGTGATGATGATGATGATCTGCACGACAGCAGCTTCTCCCCTAGAGAGAACGCGGGGTTCCGGTCCATGGAGGATCTGGTGAACGATTTCGATGAGAAGTTAACCACGTGCTTCCAAATTTTTGACGCCAAGACGGAGAGCATCGCTCCCGTGGCCGTGATCGCCGAGGACACGCTGCTGGAGAAAGACGAGTGAGTCCACGGCCTGTCTACGGCAGGCTGCGTGTTTCCCATCCAGTGTGCATGTGGAGGCTTCAATACAGTTTAAAAAACACGGAAAGACATGTTGGGAACCTTTAAAATAGGACGTAAAGACAACGACACATCACCTGTTATCAAGATATTCAAACTGAGTAAACTTTAGTTCAGATTAATCTTATGTGCCCTATATTAAAGATCGATATTGGCCGATACTCACAGTCGTTTTATTTTTAACCCATTTCTAAAATCAACATCTTTGTGATATTTTTAAGAGATACATTTGTTGCAAAATAACTGCGATATTATATTTAAAGCTGGTTAAAGTATTTTTTTAAGTATGTAATAATAAAAATTTCATATCAGGGTAGGCTGCTGGTTGTTTAAAAAGTCACCTTTTTACCACGTTTAGGAGTTGGGGGTTGTTTTAAACCCCCCAGTGTTCATTCCAAAAACATTTACAGTTTCCCAACCTATTCACAAACGTTTTTAGTTTCACACTAGACTTAATCCATGTCTGGTAAACTGAGCCTTAAAGTGTTAAATTGAAAAGAAATGGGAGGTCAAGGGTGGAAAAATCCTCAACAAATCCTAAATAGGAAACATGAAACTTGGCTTAAGTGCTCCATCAGGAGGCACGATGCTTCAGCTCTGGGTGTAAGTGGCGCTTTTTAAACGTCATCATCTGTGGTATTTTCAACCTGATAAGCTGTGTAGGGGATTATACTTTTAACCTAAGCATCAGACCTGCTTAATCTGATTGTTATGTTTTTAGATGCAGCATTAAAAAAGTATTTCTGTGGTGCACACAGTCAGTACCAACATCCTTGCTGATAACGTAGGTTTGTTTTTTAGTAAAAAAATGTATGGATAAAGGGGAATTCCAGGAATGCTGTGATTATCTCAAGTGCTGCAAACAGGAAAAACTGTTGCTTTTGTTGGTAAAGATTAAAAATGAGAAAATAATCTTTAAAAATGCAAAGAAAAGATGAAGTCCATCCTGATATGTACCTCAAGAAGATATAGTTTCAGTCTCAAACTATAAATACCCTCATTCTTTTTGCAGTTCATTTGTTTATTTTGATTGATTTCCACCTTGACGTAGTTTGTAACACAGATGCTAAGATATTTACAGTCATCAGACCCCATTGGAAACATGTTCAGGCAAATGAAATCTGCAGGACAGCCTTTTAAAGACTATGTGGTGTAAAGTCTTGTGTCCCCTCAGCATCTGGAACACTTTGACGGCTAACTACGGACATGTGATGCCGGTGGACTGGAAACGTTCTCGAACGCGCTCCCTCCACGTTCCCACAATCGACCTGGAGGAGAAACCCGTGAGTGATTCCACTTCTTCCGGCCCATCCTATCTCTGTCTCCTTTTCCCCTTCATCCCACCACCTGGCTCCCCTCCCTCCAATGCCAAATCCCTCCACCGGTCATCACGCAAATCTCAAATATTCATTGTGCCAGGGTTTAGTGCTTTGATTAAATTCCCTCCTCCTGCTCCGTTCCTGGTTAGAGAAAGGCAGATGTCGCGTTGGAGCTGTCCGACGATGAGGAGCTCAGGGATCAGCTAGACATGCACGCCATCATTGTTTCCTGCATCGCAGAGGAGCCCCTTTTCACAGCAGAGCAGGTACGTTACACAGCCCTGTCAGAATCCAGCGTAGTTCACCCCAGAAGCAGCCACACTGGGTCAAGCCTGTACAGGCAGAGCTTAACGTGGCTGAAATCTTTTCCACAGATGTTTAATAACTCGTGCTCGATGGGTTATTTTAAGAGCTGGCTCTTTGATGCAGGTTATTGAGGAGATAGAGGAAATGATGCAGGACTCTCCTGACATGGAGGCAGAGCATAATCCGTCACAGTCGGACCTGTCGATGCTCTCTGTGGACGTCCAGCAGCCCAACAGCTGCCCTGACTACGAGGAGAGTGAGTGTCTGCTGATCAGAACAGTGTGATATTGTGTTGCATATTATATTAGTAATTTATGGGAATATGCTTTGGTGGTCCAGGGATGAAAGCCTTGAGCATTGCAGAGCTGAATGAGCGTCTGGAGGAGACTGAAATGAAGATCAGGAGGTTTTCAGAGGAGCTGGTTCAGCAGCTGGCTCTCAGGGACGAGCTGGACTTTGAGAAAGAGGTGAAGAACAGTTTCATCTCAGCCCTCATCGACGTGCAGAACCGGCAGAAGGAGTACCGCGAGGCGCTCAAGAAGAAGAAGAAGCTTAAAGGTGGAGCTGGGACATCGCAAGGTCTTCCGGAGAAAACATCTGTGAGTACTTTAACTTTACAGCCAGGTTTTAAGGAATTCTCACCAGTCCTGAGGTGTTGCTAGAGTGAAAGAGATCTTTCTTTTCTAGTGTCTGCTGCATTTACTGTATTTCCTTAAATCTGCTCTTTCTGGTAATTTTTTTCCTTTGTTTTTCTTCCTTTCTTGTCAGCGCTTCAGCATGGAGGGGATCTCCTCTGTTATCCAAAACAGTTTCCGTCAAACTTTTGGGAGCGGGTGCAGTGAGAGACAGGTTACTGTGCTTTTCCTTTTCTCTCTGCTTTCCATCTGCTCTCGAATGGTGATGCCAAACCTAGGTTCCCACCTGCAGTTTATCTTTGGGTGTACCTACGTTGGGTATAAAGTATGTGGACAGAATAGCTCTCGTGAAAGTAGTTCAAATCCAGTTTGAAATGAGCTCAAAGGAACGTGTTTGAATAAGAGAGGTGTTGTTGAACAAGGGTTCTTGAGTTTATCTGACAAGTGCTACGTCAGAAAAATAAGCGTTGGGAACCACCCTAAAACACAAACGTCCATTCTACTCCACAATCTCAAAACTATTAATAAGATCAGACACTTTATCAGACACACAGTTCAGGCTTAACATGTTGTTTTCTTTAATATCGGTGTGTTTTCTCAAATGTTTTACAGTATTTGACCACAGTCATCCCTTACGAGAAGAAGGGACATCCTCCTTCGATTGAAGACCTCCAGATATTGACCAAGAGTAAGTTGCTTCACCTGCACTGTGCAGTTTGTTGCAGTTGACTTACTAACTCTGATTCATTTAATTCCCAGTTCTGCAAGCTATGAGAGATGATAGTGACAAGGTGCCCAGCCTCCTAACAGACTACATTCTCAAAGGTGAGCTTTTCTCTTGTGTTGTTACACAGGCTGCTTTACATTTGAAGTAAAATAACATCACAGAGAGACTCCCAACAATCCCGTGTTGGCAGTATGTCTGCATATGTCACCCTTGTTCCACATAACCCAAAAGATCAATAGCAGTCAATTATTACTGTGCTGATGACGTAAGCTCAAAGGGACGCGGCTGCGGTTATATATGCTGCGAACATATGTTGTGAATCATTGATGCTCAAATTCGTTTGATTTCAGTTCATTACAAAATCCTCTGAAAGCTTCAACGTGAGTTTTTAACTCCAAGCTAGACTGTGAGAGTTTTAAACAAGCCTTTAGGGGGTGACTTTGGCCTGTGTACAGTGATGAAAGCGGGTCTTCTCTATTACCCCATTAAAGCATCGTCACCTTATGTGTCGCCTTTTGATATGCCTGTTGTGGAGTTGGCTTAAAGTTTTTTGGAGACGTAATAAAAGCTGATTGTGTAAAAGTCTAAATTTAACATCTGGTTTCTTGCTGGTAAATCTTCATTAAGTATTTTCCTTCAAAATCACTTTCAGATTGTAATGAAATCAGCAATAAATGTGGAAAATTACTTTTGGTACCACTTTTATAATAGGGTCTGAACTAAGGGTGTAATTCAACCGGAATTTACTGGAATTAATATCATTTAGTCTGAAATTACAGTGTGATTATGTTAATCTACACATACTTATGGGTGAATGAACTACAATAAGGAGTGTATCAGCAGGGTATAAGAAGTCAAGTTTTTACTGGAAAAATGTTTTACTGCAAGTAATTTCATTGTAATTTTACAGGAGGAAACACATTATATAGGAAGTAAGAAAAATGATATAGTAAGTACATAGTAACTAATTTTAAATAGTGCGTGAATTACTTTAAAGTAGTGCAAAATTCATTGTAAGAGGTGTGTTACTTCCAGGTAATTTTGCGGAAGAGTGTAGTGTAGTAGCTTTTGTGTACAAACACAAAATAAACCAAAGATATGACTGAAATGTACAAATGAAAAACAAACCTAAAAGTATTCATAGCTAAAAAAAAAACCCAGTTTATTCTTGTTGTGAATGTGCATTAAAATGATTCTATTAGTCTTTTTTCACTCATATTAATCAGGTTTTTTTTACCCCTCTGTCATAAAAGGCTAATGGGGTTAAAATGCTGATGTCATCCACCCACAGTAGTTATTTCTTTCTTCACCCTGCCCGGTGGATGGGTGGGTGGCATGAACGCCCAAGTCTGTAAATCACTGACTCCATCACTGTACGACTTCATGGGCCTTGATGGACGTCCTGCGATGTTTGGTGGAGTTTGTTTTTCTTGTAAGGACTGAAAGGAAGAACGGTCCTTATCACATGTTATATAACAGGACAGGTGAATAGTGGAACATCCATAAAGCAAA